AAACTATTACCAGCGACACGTTTTTGAAAAAAAAATATTATCAGAAATACATTTTTGAAGGAAAAATATTACCAGCAAAAAGATATTGTGAGCATTAAATATCTCATTGAGGTTGATATGCCGTAAATCAAAATAAACCAAGCAATGTAAAACAAAGAAAACATACTCTATTCATACGTATCTATCCTAAAAATGTTGTCGGCATTAAATAACCCATTGAGGTTGATATGCCGTAAAACAAAATAAACCAAACCAATCTAAACCAAAGAATACATATTCTATTCATACGAATCTATCCTAAAAATGTTGTTGGCATTAAATAACCCATTGAGGTTGATATGCCATAAAACAAAATAAACCAAACCAATCTAAACCAAAGAATACATATTCTGTTCATACGAATCTATCCTAAAAATGTTGTCGGCATTAAATAACCCATTGAGGTTGATATGCCGTAAAACAAAATAAACCAAACCAATCTAAACCAAAGAATACATATTCTATTCATACGAATCTATCCTAAAAATGTTGTTGGCATTAAATAACCCATTAAGGTTGATATGCCGTAAAACAAAATAAACCAGACCAATCTAAACCAAAGAATACATACTCTATTCATACGAATCTATCCTGAAAATGTTGTCGGCATTAAATAACCCATTGACGTTGATATGCCTTAAAACAAAACAAACGTAACCAAACTACGAATAGTAAAGTCATTTTATATTTTTAATTTCGTGCATCCGCGTTATTTGATTTTGTCGAATGAACAATAAAGTAGGGTCAGTTGGGCTCCGTCTGTGAGAAAAAAAGCACCATTACGCAATTCACGCCACCAGAAATTTAGAAACGGCATCATTTATTCCTTCGCATTGACACTGGAAGTCCAATACGAACATCTCAGAGAGTTTGCGGGGGGGGTCAATCTAAGGACAGTTCAGAGGATTCGGAAAGAGTTAGATGAGTCTAATTGTGATTACGAAGGTGTTTAGAATGATCATTAGTGATGGCGACGTTATGCCCCCCATTCATCTTTTCACAGGGCATCAGACTAAACACGGCGGCCTACATCAAGTGACTCGAGGAGGTAGTGCTGTTCGGGGTCAAGAGGGTGGCGGCTGGAAGACCTTGTGTCTAACAACAGGATTCTGCACCATGCCACAATATCAGGAGAACCCAATCATATCTGTTAGACAATTTCTGCGATCACATCACCTCTTACATCTGGCCATCTCACTCCCCAGATTGAAACCCCCTCGATTATTATGTATGGGGCGCAGTTAAGCGAGAAAACAAAAAAAAACTCCTTGTAACACCAAAGATGAACTGAAGGCAACGATTATGGCAGCATTCGTCAACTTAAACAAGGAGACTGTTCAGAAAAGTTGCTGGAGATTCCGAAGTCTTTTGGTGGCTGTGGTTGAAGCCGCTGGCGAAATTATTAAATTAATTTATTCTTTAGTATTTCTATATATTTTTGTGTAATTTTGGTAAATATAGCTGTTAAATTGAGATGTCAGTGTTATTTTAGTTTTTAGTGTAATTTAGAAAACAATTATTTATCGCAGCGTGTAGATATTCTGATAATGATCTGTCTTCGGATGTCTTGTGACCAAATTTAGATGCTGACTCATGTTGCAATAAGGTTTGAACAAACATACTCCTTCTATAATCTAACAAATTTTAAACATATATATATATATATATATATATATATATATATATATTAAAGAAAAACAGACCACTTTAAGGCTCCATTGTAATAATTTATTTCCCCAGAGACTTTTATTTTTCCCTGGATCTTCAGACATCATTTTCAAAGGGTGAAACGAAAAATGAATTTAAAATTTACACTTTTGACGGGCAGTATTAAGCTTATATAAGTTGACATAGAGGGTGGTGAGGAATGGTATGAGAGACATGGTCGAGTTTCGAGAGGGAAGGGAGAGTTTTAAAATTTATTTTTATATTTCTTTTTATTATAATATTTAATATTGAAGGAGAAAGGGTACGGATCAGATATTGATATTATTTAATCGGTCAACTCAACGGAAACGATATAGGGAAAGGAAAATGATATATATATATATATATATATATATATATATATATATATATATATATATATATATATATGTATATATATATATATATGTATATATATATAATATTAAATGGTAATTAGTAGGGATAATTTGAAGGAGAGCTCAATGTAAGAACAGAGCATTATAATGATAATAAATAAAGACTATACTTATAATCGAAATGGATTTTAAAGGATTGTTATTACTTTTTACTACTATATCTATCTATCTATCTATCTATCTATCTATCTATCTATAAAGCATAAAATCCGAAACATATTTTAGATTTTGAGAATATTTTTGGCGAGTGAAGATTGTGTCAACAAATTTTTGAGAATAACAATTTTTTTTCAGATACAGAGTATATTATTTACTATTTCATCCATACTAATGAGGGCGAGAGGGATTTATACCTTTTGCGAGTGCATTTGCGTGTATGTAAATGTAACGAACCCGACTAGAATTAGAACTCGGCTCTGCTATTTCTCATTTCGTGCCACTATCAACGACACCACCCCCACACACGTCCTAGGATAATATGTACGCCCGGACAGGCTTGGCTATCCACCAACGAAGATGTATATGTATTTAGGACAAAAAGAAAAATATGCCAATCTTCAGGCCAGTCGTACAAACTTTTATCTTAAACTAGTCAAACACTTGGGCATTAACAAACTAACTGTCTTGGACCTCGAAGGAAATTACATTCAACATTTGACCATTGAAAGCAGTGATAAATGCCAGAGAAAAACGACATTATTACGTCATTATTTTTGCACCAACCTAATAGATTAGAAATTTTCATAATTTGATTCACAAAAACGGTTTTGTTTCAAATATGTTCATCTTGACGATTTTTAAAAATTGGAATTTTTTTCAACCTGCTGTCGCGAGTTAAAATCCTCAGAGTATTTAGTCTTGTTGAAGTTAACGCTAACATTTTTGTCAAGATTTACAAACTCTACGTTCAATTTCGAAAGCCAATTGATTAAACTGGAATAAACTGAATTGTATGGAAAAATACATTGGCAAAACCCGACATTGCGATTTTTACGTACCCTAATAAAACCAACTGTACTTTTGTAGCCCCTGTTTGCACTTTTCCCCAAAATTTGGTTTCGATCGGTCAATATATGTCTATTTTAGAGGGTGTGACGAACGGACGGAGAGACGGACGGGCAGACTAACGGAAGTTGCAGAATTTTATATATTTTATTTTATTTTATATATCTCTTCTATATATTAAGTTGTAGCTTGTGTCTGTCTGTTATCTAACTCCTACTAGGGTTTTGGAGATAGATCCCCATAACCGCAAATATTCTGAAAATACGTTAGCCAGGGTACTTAGATAAGTATATTTCATTTTGATTAAAGGGAGTCCCCGGGGGTGGGGGGACAAACCCCCTACTGAAATATTTTTCCATTTGATATAAATTAAATTTAAATTTGAACGAGGGAATAAATCCTAGGGTATTTCGATAGGTATATTTCATTTTGATCAAGTGTGGGTCCCCGGCCCCACCACTGGAATTTTTTCTCTAAAATTTAAATTTGAACAAGGGAATGACTCCAATCCAAAATATAGAAGGAGAAAGCCAGAAGATGGAGGTCACATCGACAAGATCATTTTGATTAAAGAGGGTTAATTACACGGAGGATGGCGAATCGAGTTCAAACGCTGACTGGAACAGTCTGCATGGATCTCACCCTAGTGCTCTTGCATTGACCCAGTATGTAGTTTTTAGTCGTATAGAGCAGTTAAGATTACTGAAAATATCATGGACAGAACATTTGATTAATGAGGAAGTTTTAATTTAAATGTAAACGAAAAGGACATTTGTACTGAGAATTAGAAGGAAGTTGAAATTTGTGAACACATAATGAGGAAAGACGCCAGAGAGAATTTGATACTCACAAGATATAATCAGTGAAAGAGCGAAACAGGTGAGTAATCAACCTAATCAGCTTGAGTAAATGACTGGCAGAAAAGAGAGTGAGAGGGAAGGCAAAAGACAGCTCTTACTATGAGCCACAAAGGATAGGGCGTTGTGGAGAACCACGTCCTGAAGGGACAGAGAACAGCCTCGAGTGACTTACTTAAGGAGTTTGTGTAAATGGATGACAGAAAATAGAGTGGGGGATACTAAAAGGACAAACATTGCTAAGAGTTACAAAGAATAGGAGGTTGTGGAGAGCCACGTCCGGAAGAATCAGAGAGGAGCTTCGAGTAACCTAATTAACGAGTTTGCATATATGGATGTTCGAATATGGAGTAGGGGGATAGTTACGGAGAATACATTAATAAGAGGTACAATGGATAGGAAGTTGTGGAGAGCCACGTCCGAAAGGCTGAGAGAGGAGTCTTGAGTTAATTAATTAACGATTTTGTATAAATAGTTGTCAGAACATGGAATAGGGGTATAGTTACGGGGAATACATTCATAAGAGGTACAAAATATAGGAAGTTGTGGAGAGCCATGATTGACCCCGTCCTGAAAGGGAACGGGATAAAAAAGTAGGAATCTGTTACTGTAAAATCTGTAACAGTTCAGTAATTCAGATCCTGCCTGACTGCACGTGTAGCCCTCCTTGACACCCAATCCAATGGGGTGTCTGCTGAACTCATTGGTACCCATTTACCGTATCTCTTGAAATCCATCTTCTTTTAACCCAAAGACCGAAGCCTAATAAATTCTTTATACGTAAAGCGGTACATTAATTGGTGATGATACTGCCGCTAGTCACGTGGTTCCGGCGAACGGTCTCGTTGGTAACCGGAAGTAGGCGTCACCGACCCAATGATACCTTCCCTCTTCATCTTCATCACCGGCATCTTTAATTTCGCGATGCTGGCTTTTCTCTTCGGAACTTGAAGGCTCTTCCTTTTCTATCAGCACGTCGTTAGATTCGTTGCCAATGGTTACTCTCTCTTTTTTTTTTTTGTTTTGTTCGGAGAGGCCAGATGTTGTGCTTTTAATCTTCTCCTTAGAAGTTGTTTTCGTGAAATGTTTCAACAGACAACTGCAGAATAAGTGCCGTGCATCAGACGGCTACAATCGGTTTGGCTTAGAATGACGCCATATGAAAAAAAAAAAAAAAAAAAGGAAAAAAAAAAAAAGAGGATGAGACGTTCGTGAATGGTGCGCTGTTGGAAAGCGTTAATTAGGAAACGTTTCATGTGAATGATAATCGGATTAATATAAAAGAGACGACGTTGCGAAATGAAAGAAAACAAACGGCAAAAGTATTTGAGAAGATAAAAGGACACAAATTAATAACGATAAGATTTATCTTTACGAAAAATGCAGAGGCAGACGACAAAGCGCAGAAATATTTTTGAAAGTTGAAGTTGTACGTTATCTATCTATCTATCTATCTATCTATCTATCTATCTCAGGTTCTTCATTATCTATCTATCTATCTATCTATCTATCTATCTATCTATCTATCTAAGTCTCTTCATTATCTATCTATCTATCTATCTATCTATCTATCTATCTATCTATCTAAGTCTCTTCATTATCTATCTATCTATCTATCTATCTATCTATCTATCTATCTATCTATCTCAGTCTGTTGTTCACTTCTATCTATCTATTCATATCAATATAGAAATGTATATATGTCTTTGGAGAAATCTGTTTGTTGTTGAAGAATTTGAGAACGACAGAGTTACTTACGCGGAACTGAAACGATCTTCCGCCCCGGGGGTACAAAAGAGTCCCTCTCGTGTGATGAATATGTCCGTGTCTGATTCAAGCGTGCAGGTCTCATCAGTCACAAAGGTGGATAGAGAAACACTCCCATCTACCAATATAATACACAACAAGCCTTTTCGTGTAGAATTTCTGACAAAGCCAGCCGGGTGGGCTCACTCAGCATCATTAAAGGAAACATACGGGTAATCAGATCGCTGTCTGAACACTTGCCTTTACTTAATGTGGAATAGCATCCAAGTCACTTAAAGGAATAACAACGACATGGAAATCATCGTTAAAATATTCGTTTGTGTGTTATTAACCTTAGATGGACTCTTATTCGGCCACGAACCGACTTCATCTATCTATCTATCTATCTATCTATCTCACCCTGTAAATATCTGTCTCTACAGCCTGTCTGAAATTATTATGCAAATCAAATAAACCCCAATTACTAAAAAAGTTCTGAACCAATATTCGTCAAATTTAAACTCGCCCACTTCCACCCTTAGTATATTTTTTTGCCATTTTTAGTGGTTAGTTTTTGATATATGTAGAGTTTACGAAAATGGATTTTCTGAAATTATTATGCCTGTCGAATTAATATTAGCTTAAGACCTCTGAAATCTAATAAAAGCTACATTTTCTTTTTTGTCCACAATATTTATTGAGGCAAATAGGTGGAATCTAACAACTGCTGAAAAACAGAAAATAACAAAGTTATTGAGTGGGGAAATGTCCACATTGTAGATATCAAAGGAGATTTGCCGAGATTATCGAACGATAAAAAAGGCTGTTGAAAATATACGTAAGCTGAGAACTCGAAGCAAAGGAAAATGCTTAAAGAATTTGATTCCTCGAGATGAACGTAAGCGAAACAACCGCTTTTGACCAGCGCTCAGATCTTTGAAAAGGCTGGAATTGGAATACGTTGCGAATTGGAATCTGTAAACAAGTTTCCTAGGCAACCTCATCTCATTAAAACAAACAATTTTAAGATTCAGGATTGGGACAAAAAATATATAAAAATTGACTTTTCTAAAATAATTTTCACGGACGAATCTCGAGTGACATTTAATGGACCTGATGGATAAGGCAAAGGATAGATTTTATCCAATTCCGACGTGCCTGTGGCGAAAAGAAAGCAACAAGGAGGTGGTAGTGATGGTATCAGCTGGAATTGTTGACTAAATTATTGGACCATTAAAAGTCGATGAAGGAGTTAAACTAAACAGTGATAATTATTGCTATTTTATGAAGAAGACTTCACTTGAATGGTGTAAATCCAAGTCTCGAAGTTCCTAAGTGAAGTGTGCATTTACGCACGACAATGCTGCTTCTCATGAATCTAAGCTTACCCGTGAATTCTTTGCGCATAAAAGATTTACAAGATAGAAGATAATGGAATGGCCACCATCAAGTCCTGATCTGAATCCGATTGAAAATCTATGGTCAATTGCGAAAATGAAATTAAATGAAGGTGACAAACAATATAACAGCAAAGCAGATATATAAGAAACAATTAAAACTACCATATTAGAAATTGAACCTGCTGAAGTAAAAGAAGAGAATCAATGGATAATAAATTAGTGGCTGTTATTGAAAAGAAGCGTCACTATATAAAAATGAAAATGATTCAAAGAGTTATCATATGTGTTAGTTACTTGATCTGTTATAGGTATTGAAAATTGTTTTTACCGTTTTATTGGAGTAAAATGTTATTTGGTTTTGCGTAATAACTTCAAAAGACAGTTTTTGTTTTAGAATACATCAAATAACTTCAATATCTTCAATAAAACTTATTGATACTACCTAAGGTTTTAACTCGGGCTTTGTTTTGGCATCTAAATTGCTTGTTTAAAATTTGACAATTTTTTCCAACCAATTCAAATTATTGAAGTTTATATGATTTGCTTAATAATTTCAGACAGTTATTGTTCAATGACGAACAAGAAAAAAAGAAATTAACGGGACACAGAATGAATATGTTGGCAATATTAATCAATTTCTGTACACACATTCATATAAATACACATAAACTCACACACACATTGTTCGTATATTTGTATCTGTTTCGGTTTATTTGTCTCATTCTCCCGATATACATATATGAAAGGACGCAAAACAGATTTTACCCAAAACTATTCTAAAAGTTCTGAATAAAATCAGAAATCTTCAGAAGGACCGACAATTTTTTTTAGCAGATTTTCGTATCTATCTATCTATCTATCTATCTATATATATATATATATATATATATATATATATATATATATATATATATAATATCAAACGCTTAAACGCTAATATTCCAAGATTATAATTTATTACATTGGAATCGTAATCACGATCTAATTCATCAGAGTTACAAATTCAAAAAGAAATCGGATTTCCGATTCTTTTATACAAACACACACACATATATATATATGTGTGTGTGTGTGTGTGTGTGCGTGCGTGTGTGTGTGCGTGTGTGTATATATATATGAATGTATATATATATATGTGTGTTTATGTATGTGTATGTATGTGTTTATATATATATGAATATGTTTGCATATGTATATATATGTATATATGTATATGTATAGGTCTATGTATGTCTATTTATATTTATTTCTACGTGTATATCTGCATATATGTATGGGTGTATGCATGTGTGTATGTATGTATATGTGTATATATAGGTATTTATATGAATATGGGTATATGTGTATGTATATGTATGTGCGTAGGTATACTTTTGTATGTTTCTATCTGTAGGGAAGAAAGTGTGTACACATACGTATATATGCATTTTTTATTTTCTTTCACGTATTGTTATATATTTGTACTCGTGTATGTGTACTAATACGTATATAAGTATATGTGAGATTTTTATATATAATTCTGTTTTTAGGAGTTTTCTTTTTTATATATTAGATAGTGTTATTTTTATGCGTATATATCTATTTTTCTATCCATTTCTATATATTTGAGTGTCTTTTTTCCTTACGCTGTTCATTAACGAATATTTGTTTTTTCTATTCTACCCATATTAAATTTTAACTATTCAACCATTTTTATCTATATATATTTGCCCGTATAAGTTATATTGTAATAGTATGTAAGAATTCGTTTAATAACACTTTCAAATTTGTGTATTTCTTAGTGGGTATATGTGCATGTATTTATCAATGCATGTGTATATAATCGCTTATATGTTTCTTTCACTGTATGTATATGTTGTTTTTATTTCTTTTTTTTAAGGGTCGTGGACACCTATTTCTTGTCACGTTACTCTTTTGCGTGTTTATGTATCTAAATATGTGTACGTGTTTGTGTATTATAATCTGATTGTGTATGTATTGTCTTTTGCAAGATTTCACCCTCCCCTGCTCGTCTTCACTTCAAATGTATCTAAGTTGTAACGAAGCCCAGAGCAACATTAAATTTTAACGTTTATTCCAACTTAATTTTTTCCTTTTAATGATAACAAAATAAATCACAAAACATATGTATTTTTCCTCAGTTTCTTTAAATAATTTTATAATTTTTAAAACTTAATATAGATTAAATTTAAAATTTAAAATTAGGAATTTTTAATTTTATAGTATAATTTAATATTTATTAGTCAGAATGAATTCTATTTCAGTATAACCCCAAGAATAAAGCATTAAATAATTATTATAACCTTAGTTCGTTGTCAAGTTTTTTGAATTCTCACATACTTGTATTTTGATTGGTCATTTCAGCTTATGTAACAGCGTTTCCCCTAGCGAGGAGTGTTTGATTGATTTGAACCTTTTAAAACTCTTTATTCTACATTCAACACCATCACTTGATAAGACATCAGAAGTGTTGAAACAAAATGGCTATTTTTGTAGTGATTTTATAACATATTTATGCTATAATTTTCGAAATATATATATATATATTGACCACTAATATTATCAATCTCTCTCTCTTTCTTTCTTTCTCTCTCTCTCTCTCTCTCTCTATATATATATATATATATATATATATATAAGGCAAAATGAGAATAAATGGAATATAATTCCATTGTAATTTAAGAGAGGGCTCAGTACAGAGTAGAGATAAATATTATTTATTTTAGCATATTAAAATATGTTAAAAATCGCTACATAATGGCAATTATTTTTCACCACTTCAAATGTCTCTCTTAGGGTGATGTTAAACTACTCCCTTCATTCTCCTTCTATCTATCTATCTATCTATCTATCTATCTATCTATCTATCTATCTATCTATCTATCTATCTATCTAAGTCTCTTCATTATCTATCTATCTATCTATCTATCTATCTATCTATCTATCTCAGAAGTATGCACCTTCATCTGTTATCCAACAAATGATGAACATATCTTTCACTGAACTGAAATCTAAAAATATAATTAAATAACTCAGAAAGAGAAAGAAACAGTGAAAGTGAGTGAAAATGAAATGGGAAGTAAAAAAAAAGAATGAAATGGTGAGGGGGAGAGGAAGTAAGAAATTGAGAGAAGGTGAGTAAGAAAACCAAGAGAGAGGAGGAGAAGGAGAGTGGGGGATCAATTTGGCCAATTATAAAAGTTTTGAAATGTAGATTTCCTCTAGTTGTTAAGAGATTTTTACCGCGAGTTTTATGAAGGCAAAGTTGAAAGTGCAACGCAAACATTTTATTAATCTATCCGGTGGCGGCAATAGATTTCATTCGGAACTGAAATCACATCCGGATGTCATTGAAACGTGGATAATTGTGAAATATACTGACGATGAAAAGAATTGCTTCAAGTTTGGTCTTTTGCAAGAGGAGATGGGAGTGAAGTTCATGGCGATGAACAATGTGTAGATGGTGTATTGGCGTGTGGAATGAGGAACGGTAAATTTAATTGCAGGTCAGTGGCATCTCTCCATCATTTTATTAACATTTCTAGAAATGCAACTTCTTTATCTATCTATCTATCTATCTATCTATCTATCTATCTATCTATCTATCTATCATCTATCTAAGTCTCTTCATTATCTATCTATCTATCTATCTATCTATCTATCTATCTATCTAAGTCTCTTCATTATCTATCTATCTATCTATCTATCTATCTATCTATCTAAGTCTCTTCATTATCTATCTCTCTATCTATCTATCTATCTATCTATCTATCTATCTATCTATCTATCTATCTCAGTTTGATCATATCTATCTATCTATCTATCTATCTATCTATCTATCTATCTATCTCAGTCTCTTCATTATCTATCTATCTATCTATCTATCTATCTATCTATCTATCTATCTCAGTCTGTTCATATCTATCTATCTATCTATCTATCTATCTATCTATCTATCTATCTATCTATCTATCTATCTGAGGTTGTTCATTATCTATCTATCTAACTATTTTTCTTTTTAATTATTTCATCTCAAGCAAGGTGATAATGCCACTAGGAAGTAGGGTGTTATTGAGCGTGAAAGAGAATAAAAAGACTTTAGTGATGAGAAATGAAGATAAAAGACAATAAAGTAACGGGTGCGAGTTGACGATTATGTTGCGTTTAAACTTTTGAAGATTGTAGTTGGCAGGGAAGCTAGAAATAGGAAGGGAGTTGTACAAGCAAGAAGTGCAAGAAAAGTAAGTATTAAAATAGAAATTACGGTTGCACTTAGCTTATTCAATAATATAATGGTGATGCGTTGTAGCGCGCTAAAATTCATGTGGTTGAGGCACTATGGAGAAAAGCTCATCAAAACAAATGTCATGAAAATATTTCGACAAAAGACAGGGAAGCCATGTCACGTCGGTGAGAGAGTGATTTAAGCCGAGATGCCAGTTCATGATCGAATTTTTTCAAGAATCTCAAGATATATAACAGGAGCATCAGACGAGATATGACAGCCATATTCAAGGCACGGACGAATGGTAGATTTATGAATATGCAAAATGGATTCTGATGTGAAAAACTTTGGGGGTGGGAAAGTAAGGCCTTGATTATAGATAAGGACCAATAACATTAGATTCTTTGGATTTTGTTGAGAATCTCAAGATATATAACAGGAGCGCCAGACCAGATACGGCAGCCATATTGAATGCACGGACAAATGGTATATTTATAAATATACCAGATGGATTCTGATGAGAAAAACTTTGGCGGTGGGAAAGTAAATCTTGATTCTAGGTGAGGACCAATAACATTACATTCTTTGGATTTTGTTGAGAGTCTCAAGATATATAACAGGAGCGCCAGACCAGATATAGCAGCCATATTAAATGGATGGGCGAATGGTAGATTTATAAATATACAAAATGGATTCTGGTGAGAATTGTCTGACACGACACAGTGAACTAACTTTTCTAGCAGTAGGTGTAGCAATTGATTCAATATAATCACTCCACTTCATGTCAGTGGAAAACATGAGTCCAAGAAGGCGCAAAGCATTTCCTTCCTTGAGTTTACCATCTTCTATGCTTATGCTAAGAGAAAGGATTCTCTGTGATGATTAAATGAAAGTAGTCTTGTTTGTGAGGCGTTAAAATTTACAAGCCAGTTAACAGTTGCTCTAGTTAACCACTGACTGGTAGGGGGCATTTTCGAGAGCAGTTGGCAGTTTTACTTTGTCGAATCTATCTAGCAAGACAGGACTCACAACCTTGCAGTTGTTTGTATACTTTTGACCGTCTCAGTGATTATCAAAAACTGGACGTTGCCAGTATGATAGACAAGATTTGTTCCGATTAAATATTCTATCAGTCAGTCATATGCAATGCGTGATGCACACTTAAACGATCATGTATCTTTCGATACGGGCTCGACAGATTTTTTCCAGCAGTAGGTTGCCATTTCTTTATGCGGTAGACTAGTTGCCAAGGCTATAGAACTCGGTCTGTCCTGCGATTTACCCATAGCTGTGGGGAGAAGAAGGGGATCCATACCTTTTCCAAGGGTATTAGTTTGTTTTACGGCATATGAAACTCAATGGGTTATTTAATGTCGATAAAATTTTTATTGCTGGTAATATATATTTTTTTCAAAAATATATTGTTGGTAATTTTTTTTTTTTGTATTACTGGTAATAATGTATTTCTGGTAATATTTTTTACAAAAACGTATTTCTGATATTAAAACCTATTTTTACACTCTCATAGCGTTTTTATCCCAGTTTGGGGTTAACTATTTGTCCATAGATGGGGCCCTAATAGTTTCTACCACCCCGAGTCAGGGTGGACCTGGGAATACCAGCAATTAAGAGGCGGTTCCACGCTCCTAAAAACCTCCTGATCAGAAGCCTTGGTGTCGGATGTAGTTTATCGTCTTACTCTGGACGCGAATGTAGTTCATTGTCATACCAAGGACGGCCAATGGTATTAGCACGCATTAACCGGGTATTGAACTCACACTCAAGGGCACATGGCACAGTGGATAGAGGCATCAGTTAGATCCAGTGACAGCACCCAAAGAGTGTGAGTTCAAAGCCCGGTTAAGGCAGTGGAGAACTTGGAGATGGGAATTAACAGGAGATAACTGATAACTGACATCCATTAAACATGGTACGTGGAACTAGAAGTCTACTCCAGTGAGCGAAATAAAGGGTTCAGTTTGACATTCCTACTACCTGAAGAAGGCCGGAGCGTACAATGGCCGAAACGTTGTAATAAATATGGCGACAAAGATGAGGACAATAGTCCGAATAATGTAAATAATGTACATAATACCTCATTTCAGAAATATAGACATATACTGAAAGGCCGAAACGTTGTAATAAATATAGCAACAAAGATGAGGACAATAGTCTGGATAATATAAATAATGTACATAATACCTCATCTCAGAAATATAGACATATACTGAAAGGCCAAAACGTTGTAATAAATATGGAAACAAAGGTGAGGACAATAGTCCGAATAATGTAAATAGTGTACATAATACCTCATCTCAGAAATATGGACATATACTGAAAGGCCGAAACTTTGTAATAAATATGGCGACAAAGATGAGGCCAATAGTCTGAATAATGTAAATAATGTACATAATACCTCATCTCAGAAATATAGACAGATACTCAAAGGCCTAAATATGGAAACAAAGATGAGGACAATAGTCTGAATAATATAAATAGTGTACATAATACCTCATCTCAGAAATATAGACAGATACTGAAAGGTCGAAACGTTGTAATAAATATGGCGACAAAGATGAGGACAATAGTCCGAATAATGTAAATAGTGTACATAATACCTCATCTCAGAAATATAGACAGATACTGAAATGCCGAAACATTGTAATAAATAATTGCGACAAAGAAGAGGACAATAGTCCGAATAATGCAAATAGTGTACATAATACATCATCTCAGAAATATTGACAGATGTTCGATAGTGTTTGAACAAAAGATGGATGAAACATGAACGTTGGAAAGATTTATGCACAATTCTGTTTTAGATGTGCCACATCTTCAAACATTTGAAAATTAGAATTAAAAAAAAAATAAAGAGTCAGTTCTTGCTGGTTTTATTAAACGAAACTTGTTTTTATATTTATATACTTGTCTATACATCTAACAAACTTCCACATTTGTCAAGCATAAAAAATAAAGAGAACCGCAGCTATACATTCCCAGTGGTGGTGACTAAATGTAAAACGAAAAATAAAATTAAAATTCAAATAAAAAGCTAGGACACATTAGTGAAAATTCTTTTTTCTTTTTTAGTTATTTCGCAAAATTTCTTCCATCTTTTGAGATTTTCCTTAAAAAGGGTGACTACGGCACGACAAAAGAAAACATGGCAAATTGCGAAGAAAGCACAACGAAGGAAAAAAAAATCTTACGAAGAAAATATTTCATCGAAAAGAAATTCCAAAGCAAAACTAGATTAAATAATGAAGATAACTAAATGGAGCGAATCTAATTAGACGAACATCATAAAGCCTAATTACATTAGATGGAAAGATCAGAGCAAAGGGTGTGCTCTCATTTCAATTCGTATGCGCATGCGTACCTCTATGTGCGCATGCGTAAATATACCCGCTTAAATGTATGTTGAAGTTACTTTATGTTACAAAATGCAGTATAGTGTCAAAATTATTTACAATTATATCTGTGCGTCAATATATATTGATGACGCACCATACTCTTTCCAATATTAAGGCTTTAGTAAGCAAAGAAAGGTAATGGCTTGCTCATACTTGTAATCCATTTTAGAGTTTTTTTTCCTGTACAGTATTAGCAACAAAACCTTTCATGACGACATGTATTATTTATCTCTCTGTTAAGGGTATATATCAATGTTAAAGAGAAAGTATTTTCGTGTTAAAGATACACAGAATTATCTATCTATCTATCTATCTATCATTTTATATGCGCAGTACTTACTGGAAAGTGCTCAATATCAGTGATAGAGCTAACGTATTTAGTTGTATGGATATGAGTTTATGACCCTGGGTTTCACGCTTTTGCAATCATCAGACAAACTGGTTTATTTTTTAAAATTGGATCTAATTATGCTTGTTTGTGTTTGATTATGTTTGGTGGTGGGAGGGGGATTTTCTTCTGTATTTGTTGGGATGACACTCTTATACACATTGACACGCATGCATACAGGTGTACGCATGTTAGTTCACACAAACACACAAACAATCCGAAGCTAGGCGCAGATACACACCCATACGTTCGAGCATACCTACATACGCACAACTCTATGTACTTGTCTGATGATCTCAAAAGCGTGAAACACAGGGTTACAAGCTCATATCCATAAAACTGAAAATATATAAATCAATAAAAATATCCATAAAACTGAAAATATATGTATATATTTATATTGTCATCTACAGACAGACTGTTTCGCTGTATTATTGTTCATCAGTGTGGATAGATATCTGATTGCATCAAGGCAGGATCAAAACCCGACTGATTTGGCATCAGTCGGAGATTCCCTCCCCTAAGATATCAGCTCCCGGTAGAGAGGAAGAAGTATTTATTTTTAAATAAGCATGTCAGTGACTCAGAGTGCTCAATTCATAGAAGAGATTTGCATTATCAGCAGTAGAACTCAATGTTTACAAATTCGCGCTTTCCCTCTAAAGTGCTTGACCGAATTTTATTTTTTTCGGTGGCGTATGATAAAATTATAGATTTAAGTTATGATATATTTATCGGTAAAAGTGCTCTATATTAGAGCATATGCAAATATAAAGGTGGACACTGTAGTCAACACCGAGCGGTAATAGTCTTTTTCATGATTCAACGCAATTATCAGGTCATGTGTATTGTGTTTTGGCTCGACTATTTATATATGCTGGCCAGTGGTGCTTTATGGATGATAAGGTTGATTGTATTAACCTGACGGTTATTGGGTGGCGGTAACCGTTATTTTCCTTAATTATTCGATGCATTTATTTTATATTGTTGTCTGTT